TACCAACTCTACCAACTCTACCAACTCTACCAACTCTACCAACTCTACCAACTCTACCAACTCTTATATTGACCTCGATGGCTGGAAATGATAACTCCACAACAAATGCCCGTTTTTGGATGGACATTTTTTCGAGAACGTTATCTTTTTTATAAAAAGCAGACAAGGTATTGTTAAGAGGATCGGTCAAATTCGTCGGAGAACAGCCAAAAGTTAGCATCCTACCGATGGCTGTCACATTGCCGCGATGCTTGTTCACAATAATCTCGATACGGCCAAAAAGCGGGCAAATTTTCATTGGCGATGCAGAGTTTATAGGCAAAGCTGACAATACTGGGGCTGGCCAATAGATGCCCATGCAAGTGGGTGTGGCGGTAAAAAGTTTCGGCACTTCAGGTGGGGTTCGGTCCCAGCGAAAAAACAGCAGCAGCTTACAATATAAAAAGAGTATCAGGGCACTCTCTTTTGCGATTGACGCCGAAATGTGCATGCTAGAAATTGGAAAGCAAATCCAATCAATCGACGACAGCGATGGCAGCAAAAACGGAATCCAAAACATCGGCTACATCAATGATTTACCAGCGGCGTGTGCATGCAACACGAACTCTAACAAGAAGGGATGTGCCTCCATGTCAGATGGTATCCCATTCTGCACGAGGGGCTTTTAACGCGATGCATATTGTATTTCTTTTTGGCTCCAAAAAATCGATCATCGAACAGACCGATGTACATGGCATCTACTTGGTAGCAATGTTCCGCTGAGCCTTACAGTGCAAATTGTGCATGCAGAACATCAAAATAACGAGTTAGGATTTTAATTTAACATCAAGGCGATCAATTAACAATTTGGTTCTTTGTACAATAACGGGCTCCTCGTTGCAGTCGGAAAAGGATATCTGGCATAAGTTTGGGGAGAATTCCTTTGGCCAAGGTATTCCCATCGAAATTTCATTTAAAATTATAAGCGGCGCCTCATCAGTAGATAACTAATGTTTAAGAGGCAAATCAATACCTCGGCGATAAAGGCAATCGGAGGCGACAAATGGCGCGTGATTACCCCGATTCGCATACGCAAATCGTTGTGCGAAATGGTAAAAGTAAAGCCCTGCGGGGATAAGACACCAAAAGCTATACCTCAATTGTGAACGAATCCGATTTCACCAACAAAGGCATCCTTGTCGATGCGGTAAGATTGGAATTTAGCGCTGGGGAGTGGGCGGATTTCCATTTTGGCAAAAGAAATTGCCGTGCAGATGGTGTAGTAGATGAAGATGGTGTCGTAGATGAAGATGGTGTTTCAGGCGAGGATGGTGTTGCGAGCGGTGATGACGATGAAGAAGCAATGGCCGCATTAATCGTTAATTGCCCAAATAAAAGATCAATTGAGGAGTCTACTTCAATCCAACTGGTATCTTTTTGAGATGCGGAGCAGCAAAGTAGAATGGTCGATTGGCCCTCGTGGCATTTCACGAATGAAACACCGCTGTCGTGGGCAGAGCGAAATGATTGAAGCGTCGATGAAAATTGACAGGCATTCGTGGCATGAGAGATCGAATACTTTTCGTTAATATTGCCGATGAACTCATTCAGTATGCAAGACACCCTTGCGTGGACAAGCTCATTGGCCCTTCCCAATTCATTGGCCCTTCCCAGCTCATTGCCAATTATGGGACAAAACCACAATTTTACAGCAGCTGGCATTTGTCGCTAGGTAAATTAAAATTTATTAAGCTTTAATGTCAAGGAACAATGGGCAAGATCATTCAACGATGACAACGCAGCCCATCGCCAATGCTTCTTCGGCGGGCACGGCGTCCATCACTTCTTCTCCAGGGGCTTTCCATTACAAAAGAACCCCGTCCAACTCGATCAACTATTCTGCCGCCGAATGGGTTTCAAAAATGGGCCAAATATCCATCCCGAAAGGGTTACACCATAGCATTCTTATTATGCCTAGTGATCTCAATGAGCTCATAATGAATTACCTGATAATTGAAGGATATTCAGACGCTGTAAGGATATTTTCGGAAGAGTCTAAACAGAAGATTGATGATCTGGTTTTGAAGGATGTCGAGTTCAGGGAAAAGCTGCGAAACCTCGTGTTGGATGGCAAGATCAAAGAAACAATTTCCTTGATCAACGACTCATATCCAATGGTAGTTTCTTTGTTAAGCTGACACACTTAGCTGCTTGAAGAGAACAACGTCCTACTTTTCGCGCTGAAAAAGCAGCACTTGATAGAGCTGATCAAGGAGAATAGATCCAAAGAGGCTGTGTATTTCGCGCAAAAAGATCTGGTCCCGCTCACGGACATGAAGGTAACCCCGAAAGCGCTACAAAGACTAGGATCACTTGATGTCGGAACTTGAGGATGCCATGGCTCTTCTTGCTTATACTGGAAATAAAAGAAAGTCAAAAAAGCAGGAGCCGACGATCCCGGCTGAGATTTCGCATTTGCTGGATCAAGAGCACAGAGAAAAACTCGTCAAATTGCTAAACTCAAAAATACTAGAGGCCGGTGGGCTGGTACAGCCCGAGCCCAAGGTCAATAATTTGATTAGATTGATGTTCTGGGCCCAGAGCCTTTTGGACGAATATGGGGCCACATATCCGCACATTGACCATCTTTTAGACGTCGGCACCAAAGAACAGTGAGGATCGGCTTTGAGCACCATTCTTCCGCCCTCGTTGCAGGCTTTACGCTGCAACGGCAACAGCTAATAAACAAACGTGCGTCAATAATTGGGGTAGGGTTTATAAATTTTACGGACATCGTGAGCGGCTTGGAAATTTGGAAACATACTCAGCTTGATGGGCCACGCTTTACTTTTGCGTATTCACTGCGAAACAGACGAAAGTGGAGAGTGAAAAAACAGCAATGCCCGGTACAGGGTAGAGGAGCGAGAAAGCTGCCCATCTGTCGAGAGCACGGCAAGCAAGTCTCGCATTGCTATCCGTCTTTCTGGCATGTACGCAGAGGATGACGAGGATGCGCCGTGTAGCGGTCTCGGGTTACTCGATGGAGTTTCTGCTGGATTTGATGATGATGATGATGATGATGATGCCGGTGTTCCCTGTGGGGAGTTAGCATTGACCATCCACTGCTTTAATGGGATGCCAAGCTGGCCCATCGCAGTGGCATTGATGATTTTGGCCCGGATGCTACTTGAGTCTTGGAGACCAAGTGCCGAAATTGCTTGGGGAGACGACACACTTTGTTCTGGATCTTCTCCGGTGGGCGGTTGGGCTGAGGTGGAGTTTGGAACCCTTCCTCTTCGCGAAGTAGGAAGGATGCCGCCGATTGAGGACAGCAATTGGTCAAATTCTGCCTTTTCGCGCCTGTGTTGTTCTGAGAGCGCCTTGTCGAGAACGTACAATTGACGACGAGGATCGTTATCAATCTTTGGTTATCCAAGAAACAAAAGTACCTTGGAGCGGATGGATGACTTGTGAGAGGAACTTGACTCGTATCGATGCCTGGATATCAAGACAAGCTCATCCATGATGATTGCCAGCTTTGCTTGGAGCACGTAAAGCAGCCCCTCCATGATTCCATTTTCGGTGGACTTGGGAATGGAAATCTTATTTTTCGAGCCTACAGCGAAAATATTTCCGAAACAAGCTACTTACCTATGGTGGAGAGCAAGAAGGCCAAGTTGTCGTGATTGAAAAGACTTGAAATTTTGGCCCGAGGGTCCTCAATGGAAGGCATCGATGATGCGGGGAAATACGAGGTAAAGGCCTCTTGCTCCCTTAATATGGCCTCTGCCTCCTCTTTGAGATTGACGCCAGAATTAGCAAGAATATCTTGAATGGAATCGGTATCCTCCCGAGTGGACGAGATTGTTGTTGCAGTTGAGGGTGTGAGCAGTTGAGAGGGTGTCATATTGATCATAGGCATTGGCGCAACAATTGAGCCGTATGAGGAGGCTGCTGTGGGCGAATTTGTGGCTTCCGATGTGGCAGCAGATGTGCTTGCCGTCAGCACATCGGCAAGCAAGTTGATGCCAGGTGCCATCATTTCCGTTGCCGACAATGTGTTTGGGGCCACGTGCATTCTGCTTGCTGCTATGTTTATCTTGTTGATTGAAGAGCTCTAAAATGAGGCAATTGGATTACAAGATTGGCATACAGCTTTGACCCCAGAATCAGCCGACATGAACAGAGAAACTCCTGTATTTGGATCTGCTGGCTTTTGAATTTGTGGATAATTTGTAAAAGTTCGAGCTTCTTAGAATAGGACAGTTGCGAGATGATGTCTAGGCGAAGAAAGCAGCTTGGAACGCCTACCTTGGTGCAACGACTGGGAGCCTGCAGAATTCATGGCTAAATTTTAAAAAGTAAAATCTATTTTGGAGACAAACCAATTTTACAAACCAAGTTTTTATTTGATGGGCAAAAGGACGCTTCTTTTGCTAGATCTGAATGGGGTGCTGTTTTACTGCCCAGCCTCGTCGATTGTCAGTGCTTCGATTTTGGAAAAAAATCCAGGATCGTGTTTTGTAAACACAGGGTTGATACTACGGCCCTGGATCTCTGAATTTCTTTCCTTCTGCTTCCAGCATTTTGAGGTGGGCATTTGGACCTCTTTGCAGGCCAAAAATGCATATCCAATCATTGGGAGGATACTTGGCTCTCACGTTGAGATTTCCCACTCGGGCCTGATATTAGATTGTGGGCTCGTTGATGGGGGCAAGATATTCCCGGAGATTTCCCAAATCAAGGAGCTTGACAAAATGAGCACGGAGGCATCCATGATCAAGGGGGAAGAGCCCCGAAGTTGCGCACGCATGCAGATTTCCATTCTTCGACACCGAATGATGTCGAAAAGCTCGGTAAAAGGACAGCTCTCTTTACTTTGGACCCAAACGAGATGTACCATCTCGCACGATGGCCGCGCTTTTAAGATGAAAAAAGACCGTCCATTTATGCTGAAGGATCTTTCTTCGCTTTGGAAAGAGGATGGTGAGTTGCACGCACTGCCGGTCCATCAGATAGTTGAGAAAATCGTTATTAACCATCAAGATGCATCATACGTGCTCTCCAGCAATCCGGTACGGAAATTCGACGATCTGAGCGTCTCTGTGCCATCGAGATTGGACATAGCGTCGCGTTGGAGCCCAAAGAACACCGTGCTAATTGATGATTCGGCATACAAATTTTCGCAAACACCGCTCAATGGCATTCCAGTTTCGTCGTTTGACGAGGATTCCACAAACGACAACGTCCTGCTGCACTTGATGCAGTATTTGGAGAAAGAGGTGATTGCCCTGTCCAGGGACAAGGATGACTTTGACATTCGAGAAATTTTAAAAGCAAGGCCGTTTTCTGCGTTTACGCCATTAAATTGTGTTTAAATTTTCACGTTCCAAGTGTAGCGAGTGATGCATACGTCTACAAATCCCGACGATTTCTTTGAAAGTGACTCCATTCGAGCTGCAAGGGAATATCAGCGCAGCCGGATCAGCTACGCAAAAGGATCGCCTTTTCGGCTTCCAGGGAAAATTCTTTCCATCGCTAATCACCTATCAAGCCACATTGGGGCTGGTTGCTCCAATGGGGTTGCATATATTTTCCAGATAAGCAAAAACAGGTTGCTTCTTCGCGTAACGTGCAAAGGACATTCGGGTCCCGTTTCTGCAATTCAGTTTTTCAACAAGCAACACCAATTGCTCGTAATCACGGGATCCTGGGACAGGTCTATAAAGATCTTCGATGCATGGAACGGGTCGCTCATCAAGACATTTGACCAAGTTTTGCCGGATCTGATACGGTCGATTGCTCTTTTTCCATCCGAGAATCTTGTGATTGTCTTTGGAGATGCTCGCGGGTCGCTTTGTATTCTGGACGTCTTGCAAAACAGGAAGGTTATCAGAAAAGCTTGCAATAGGTCCATCGAGGTGATAAAAGTAGAGGGGACCCAAATCTTCATTGCCAGCTCAGAGGGGGCAGTTTGCTCGTTTACAATCGATGCTGTTGACTACTCTTTCAGCAAAAACGAAGGGCTCTTTTCGAACACGGACGAGCAACATGCTACATCGATTTATTCCATGGACCTAGTTTCGCCAGATACGCTGTACACAGGCTCGGCTGATGGATGTATATTTGCATGGGATGTTCCAGTAGCTTTTAATATTTTGATCAACTAGAGCGGTCTACGAATATGGCGCTCAAACGATTTAAAGTCTTGGGTTCGCTCCCTTGTTCATCCGCAGAGAAGAAGGGATTTATTATTTGCAGGTCTTGCTGATGGCACGTTGCATCTGATCCATGACCAAGTAAGAAAGCAAGCGCAGGTTTTACCCCATACGTCTAGGAGATAAAATTTACCGTTTCCTCTGGCGGCCATTTTGATGCCATCACGGGGTCGATTTGTATTACAAGCGAAAATAATATTGATTATCTCATCACGGCCTCACTGGATGGCACAGTTAGGACTTGGATTGTGCCTTCAGAGGGCAAGCTAAGGCTGGAAGAGCTGCCCTCCGCTTCTTTCGACGATGATGAGGATTTAGATGCACTTTTGTGCGATGAAAAAGAGGACGATGGCAATGGCTAGTAAAAAGCTTAAATAAATAAATTGATCCGCAATTTGATCAACCCTTGTGATGGCAAAGCTTGAGTTCTACTTTGACTTGGCCTCTCCTTATAGCCGGATTGCATGTCACAGGTTAAAGGTGTGGCGAAAAGAGAACCATGCACAGCTGGAATGCATCCCAGTTTCACTAACCGCCATTCTGAAAGACTCTTCCGGAGAAACCGCATTGCAACACAAAAAACGAATGCATTCGCTAGTGGACTTGAAAAGAGCAGCCTGTTTATATGAAATCTCTGATTTCGACACCAGCAGCTCGAGAATACAAGCGAACTTGAAATCCAAAGAGATTCGCTTGAAAATGATCGAGCTGGCCAACAGAGGCATCACCTTTGACGATCTCGAGCTTCTGTATAAAAAATATTGGAGCTTTTCGTGCACAGAGCAGAAGGATCCCATCACTTGCAATCAAGATGCAACAAAAAAGCAAACCTTTAGCAGCGAAGGGCAAGTAAAGCTGCTAGAAAACACAAAAAAAGCCATCGAAATGGGTGCTTTCGGTCTTCCGTGGTTTAGGCTTTTCAGGAGCGGCAGAGATGCACAAGCATATTTCGGATCCGATCGATTGGAGCACATCAGCCTGGACGTTCAAGAGAACATTGCCAATAAAAGCAAATTATAAAATTAAATTTTACAGCCTTAAATTTTAAGAAATGGTAAGTCTTCCCCTTCCGACGGGTCCATCGATCGAGAAAATGCAATTCTTTTCATCAATCATCCCTTGTGTCATTTTTGTCATCATCGCTTGCTTGAATGTTTTCTAATTTTAAAGGTTAATATCCCAAAGGCCAGGAATACCTTTTGCAAGCGCTGTCGTATGCACAAGCCTCACAAAGTGTCCCAGTACAAAAAGGGAAAGGACTCTGTTCACGTGCAAGGTAAAAGACGTTACGACCGCAAACAAGCAGGTTTTGGTGGTCAAACAAAGCCCGTATTCCACAAGAAGGTACTGTTCGTTTCGGATTTCTCATTTTAGGCCAAAACCACCAAGAAAATCGTGCTTCGTTTGGAATGCACCGTCTGCAAGCATAAGAATCAGCTAGCTCTCAAGCGCTGCAAGCATTTTGAGCTGGGAGGAGATAAGAAGACTAAGGTTTGTGTTTGTAGTTTTGATTTTCCCCCTCATAGGGTGCTGCTCTCAGTTTCTAAGGTCTGTATTTATCCAATAAATGATCGCCGCTTGTTTACTTGGTTTAACGCATTAAAGGGAATACACTACGCCCTTCCGATCTTGTGGCCTTGCAATATAAGTTTCCTTTAATGGCATCACAAATTTGAATTTTAATTTCAGCTGATGGTGGGCTGTTGGCAAAATGCCCCCGCAGATATCTCCTGCTGGGCGACCAGCCCTCAGTCAGATAGTAACCCTTGGGATGTGGCCAATGCCAACGAGGTAGCTTGTACCTCTTTGGAGGGGTCTGCCCCAAGCTCCGAACTAAATTTGGAAAAGCTGCCGACCTCTAAATCCAATTGCCAAAGGCGAATAGCGTCTTCTCCCGGCCCCTCTCGTGCAAATAAGAACTGCATTTCATCTTTTTTGTCTCGTACTGCCAAGAGTGAGAGAAATGACGATACGGTTACCGAAATTTTACAAGAATCTCCAAACACAAAGTTGATGGTGAAAGACACCTTTGTCAACTATTCCGTTTTGGAGCGACCAACATGTGATGGGTTGCATTGGAATCATCACTCGAAAAGAGGATCTTTTATTACAAATTCCAGTGAACACACAGCAAGAGCAAACGCTCAGGGATATTTAGCGCACGAATATGGAGATCCTCGAATGCTTGATAATCGCTACTATGCAACGATCCAAAACGGAAGGGATTGTGATCAGATTATCCACAATAATAGGCCAAAAGCGGATATTTCTTTGAAAATAGCATCTGATCGCACAGAATCCCACTGTTTCTCATCAAGAGCACGGTCTTTTAAAGATCCCTCAACCTATCGAGGAGTTTCCAACCAAAGAGTTCCAGCGCTATACCATGGGAATTCTCCGGCACACGACGGCAATTTTGTCTGTTCGAGAAGTAAAAGCAGCACTCCTTGCAATGGGGAATTGAAGGCAATAACGGCCAATTCTACGGCAGATGTGGATGGCGGTGGGTTAGATTATGTTTCTGCCGCACATGATTTTGATTTATTTGCTCCCATACCGAGTTCTAGACACCTCAGCAATTCAAAGCCCGACAATTTTGAACCTTATACTCGCGTAAAGCCTGACCACGTCAGTTCTCGAAGAAATCGAGACAAGACAGGTCAACACCCAACAAGGACAGACTCTTTTCATACGCGTGAGCGCGCCATTATTCCGGATTCAGAAAAATTCATCGGTTCTTTTCGATCAGAAAATCGCTCTGAAAGCCCTCTATGTAGGATCAAGCCACACGATTCCGATCTTTCACGGGGCACCAAAAGAAAGAGAGAAGGCCCTTTTGATAACATTGAAAATACACGCTTCAATTGTGCAGAACCAAAAGATAATAGTTTATGGGGAATGCAGGAAATGAAGGATAAAAAGCCAGTTGATTTTTTTTCAACCGATTTCTCATCTTCGGTCAACCTGATGAAGACATCAAATCCAGTCGATGAATTTGTGCTTCTTGAAGGCAAAAAGTCTAAATCAAAATTTGGTTGGAATGTTCTTGACGGCAATAACAGCTCTGATTCGACAGATCTTCGCCAGGCTGATTGCCAAATGTCTCTTCCTCAACCATCTGGATCTAAAACATTTCTTTCTGACGATTGGGGCGCAGCCGATAGTCACTCCTCCTGGGGCGCAGCCGATAGCCATTCCTCCTGGGGCGCAGATCTTAAACAGACAAGTGGTCATTCGAGGAAATCCAAATTTCATTCCATTAAGGACGATAAGGAAAATTTAGCAAGAGATTTACCATCTTCCAAACGGGTGGATACTTTGAAGCAAAAGTCATCTTGGTCAAGTATTTCCGATCGTTCAAATATGACTGTATTGACGGGACTTTCCAATGAGAAAGAAAATGTGTCTAACATGGCTCCAGAATCTGAGCTCGCAAGCAAACTCGCCAAAAGCCACGATGCTTCTAAAAATGCTGTCTCGGGCTGGGGTGAGTCGGGTAATACTGTTTCCGGCTGGGGGAGCCTATAGACAACATACCCGGTTGGGGAGAGCCTATAGACAACATACCTGGCTGGGAAGAATTTAGAGAAACTTTGCAGAACACGCCAAAACCCTCGAAAAGCACATCCACGCCCACAAAAAGCATGCTATTACCTTCGCAGGCTGATTTTGGAGGCAAAGTTAATTGTTCTGAGCACATTTTTCCATCCTCCAAACCAATAGCTTCTTCGTCAGGATTATCCCCAAAGCGCCTATTAAAGTTAGAAAAGCTAACTTCTCAATTCTTGAAGCTGATATCAAAGGTGATGGAAACAGGATCCCGAGCATCGATAAAGGTAAGCCTCTTTTATTTGTAACCTGGTAAGGATTCTGCACTCTTTCTTTGCCAGGACTGTGGCGATCCTGTTCTTGAAGAATTGTTCTTTGAAGCGTCTTTAAAGGCAATCGAGACAAAAGGTCTTAACAAGCATCTTGTAGATCCTTTTTACGACAAGCTTCATCTTCTGTATCTCATTAACGAGATCTTTATCGCCCAATCTGAAGCGTTTGGCGGTGTTCTCGCGTTCAACTTGACAGCAAGATGTTCCTTCATCTCGGTTATAGCGAAAAGAATATTTCACATTGCCTTTGACGAAGCAGCCTCTAGTCGCGATGCAAAGCTGGTCCTTGTAAAGGTTGGCTTGATATTTTAACGGCATAGCTATTGATCTTGTGGAGGCAGCAACGGCATTTTGGCCCCTACTTTTTGGAATCCTTGTTCAGCTTGGATGAAGATCACATGCGAGAAAATCTGCTTCAGCAAGCGCAAGAAGAAACCTTTCTCCCCCAAAGGGACATACCTTTGCTTCAGGATGACCTTTTCGATTAATTGAACTTTCTATGTTTTAGCAATACCGAAATTCTCCTCCACACGCATCGACGCGCGTATCTAAGCATTTTTAATTTAACGTCAAGATTGATGTGGATATCCGTGAACGTGGTACTTTGGCAGGCCACGCCAGATGATTAAGCGAATCAAACGAAACGAAGGACTCAATTGTAACTGCAACAAATTAAATTACTAGCGTCCCATTGATGTTTACTTGGGATTTCTACACATTTGCCAGGGGTTTTTCCTTTGAAACGTTGGAGATCCGTCGATGCATTTTATTTTTCGCTCGCAAATAATTGGTTCCCCTTTGGGTTCTTTCTTTTCCATACGATAAGTAACTCTTCCAAACGTCTCGTGACACACAGCCACGTCGATCCGCGAATATTTACAACTAGCAGCCTAAAGGCCGTGGAGTACAAGGTTGCAGCAGAAAGCAATATCTATGTGGTGTGTAGCTTATACTAATGACAAGATTGAAGATAGCCGGGTTTGTATGTGAAACGAACTTTTTTCAAAGTGAAATTTTCTCGTAATCGATTCAGTGACTAAAATAGAAAAAATCGCGGCTCAAGTTGCGTCAAAAGACCAACGAATTAACTGCACAATAGACGTTGCAGCTGGAAACTGCATATATGATCTTTGATCATTGCTAGTATCTTTCATTTAAAATACTCTAAGGTTTGGCAGCAAGTAAAACAACTTCAAAAAGGCTGGCCATGCTATCTATCTGGCTAAATACTTGGACTAGCGGCTACAAAAGAAAAATAATCCCTCTTGTAAGACCATGAGCACAATCAATAGTAGGAAATAATCCAGCAGAGAACCATAGTCATCAAGTGCACTTGTCAACTGTTTCAAACACACATCTGGTGGCAATCTGAGCAACTTGAAGAAATAGATTTGACCGAAATTTTGAAGCCGGTTTGACGCTTGGTGCCTACAAACACGGCTAGAACTGCCAGCGCATCGAAACAAATAACCATTAAAACTAATGTGAATGCACGTGGACTATTCCAAGCATACTTGCATGCTATCATTTAATGATCATCGGTGTCGGCTTGACCCGATCCATGTGTCGCTAAAAGGGGCTCTTCAGTTTCGGCCGCTTTAGCACGGTAAATTCTAGCTTTTAGTCTTTTTGCTTTAACCTGGGCTTCTTTACAGGCAGCATGAGCTTCGTCAGCTTGATTTCTGAGCCAGAATATTTGACACTTCCGACCAACTTTCTCAAATTTGTGTCTTAATATAACGTCTTCACCTCTGAGCGCGATTAGTTTATCCTCAAACTTGAGCCGGGCTTCTTCGTATGCGTCATCATAACATTTGGTCCCGAGTTCTTTTTTTTTGAGATCGATTATTTTACGTGCAATCTTAGCAGCCTGCTCTACCGCCTCGGTTGATTCGACTCCAGAGGGCTTGACCAATTGAGCTACGAGCTTGTGGGGCTATCTTGACTTTAACCCAATCAGCTTTATCGCTGAGGCTCCTTGATGTCTCCGTGCACTTTCCTGCTTCTGGGTTAGACAGCTACCTCTTCAATATTATTCGTCAGTAAATCCGATCTATTTTCAGCAGCACGAAAAATGGTGACAAATAAAAAAGGCCGTAAAAGTTATGAGAAGTAAACTTTTTGATGGCCATTGAGGCAGGCTGTTTGTTAAAAGAACACTGTTCTGGCACGTTATAGGCCCTTTGCACCCGGAATTTTGCATCGAATCAAAATGCTTGAAAATAAGGAAATACACCAACTAGCCATAAAGGCACGATTTATTGCACATCCGACCAATTGGATCAGGGGCGGCTTGTGCATAGAAAATCCTGCAAGAAGCCAACGATCGAAGCCAACGATCGAAGCCAACGATCAAAGCCAACGATCAAAGCCAACCGCCCCATGCTGATCCCAGAATGCCCAGTGATATTTTCTGATAACTTTAGGGTTAGGGTCATTTAATAATTCAAGGAGCAGAAGACGTGTGTTTATTTGGGAAGCTGCTCAATTAGCGATGGATGCAAGATACGCTCGTAAACGGCAGCAAATTTTTGGCCATTGTTTCTTTCAACCTTGATGCCCTCCTCTGTTTTTGAAAGAATCACTCGAATCAATGGATCTTCAGTCTAATGGTAACAAACTGGATACGAATTACATTTGGCAGGGCCTTGAACAAAGAGTGTGAATTTAAATGCATCAACATCCAATCGAAAAGGTCGGGAACATCTGTTGCAATATAAAGTCGACCCCCTGGACGCAGATAGTATGCATATTCTGACAACAGGGAGTGGGTTATGATCCGGGCTTTGTGTTTTTTCTTTTTGAAATGGGGATCCGGGAACAAGAAGAACATTTTCTCCAACTGAGCCTTTTCAAAAAAATGGGGCATGCATTTCATTGCATTTGTTCTGATCACTGAAATGTTTTCAAAGCACGCCGGATTCGTTGCACGGAGTACAGCAATACGCTCCGAGACGTAATTTACAAGCTTCAAGCGAATTTCCATGCCCAAGGCCAGGGCATCTGGGAAAAGCGGAGCAAGCGCGACTATGATAAGCGATATGATTCCTCTGCTTTACATACCTAACAACCCGCCATATCCACAGCCCACATCCACAATAGTTACCTTGAAAAAGAGTGCGTTGAGAAACTTACTTTAGCTTCATCATGAGTGGCAGACGGAAAATATGGGCTCCAGTCCATTTCAGCAGGAGATACCGGGCTAAAAGGTTACAAAGACCATAAAAATACAAGTCAATGTTGTGGTCGGAAAATGGATTGCAATGGGCCCTCTGTCGATAGAACCGCTTTCGCGGCATGTGAGCAGGGGGGGAAATGCCAATCGCCTCGCATGATGTCTTATTAGCGCGAGGTTTTGTGGGCATTGTATCGATAGGGCCGGTTGTCTCTGCAGAGACGCCCAGAATATCGGCCATAAATAGGAAATTAATAAAAATTTAAAAAGGAAATTTTAATTAATGCTCGCCATTGAGCAAGAGTTGGCCACTCTTTTTGCGTCGAAATCTTATGTTGCTACGACGGAGCTAAAAAGTGAGGCTCCCAAGTCAAAAAATCAAATAAGGCGGGAAGCAAGATCCGCTCTTCGCAAGTCGTTGCGTAGCGCATATTGCGAAGCAAAACGTGAGAAACAGCGTCAAAAACGGGCAAAATCTGCTCGTCCACACACGATAGATACCCAAGATTCACCCTCGGAAATAGATAAGGGCGACACATGTGGCGCTGTTGTGCTATCGAATTGTGAAAGTCCGATGGAAATAAAGCCTGCAAGCTTCGCAACACAGCCTCCAAATTCATTGGAGACCTTGAACAGCGAGCAAACCAAGGAAAATGGCGGATGGGTTCTCTTTGACACAGCATTTGATGAACTTATGCTTCCAAAAGAGCGATCGTCATTGGCGGCACAGCTAGCCAGATGTCATGGCATGAACAAAAGATCCCCGAGTGGCTTCTGCAAGATGCTGATTGGACCGATTTCTCCGGATTTCTCCTTGCTTTTGGAAAAATATTGCGCCATCTTGTGGAAAAATGTGACTCTTTTTGCAGAACTTCCGAAAAAGTCAGCTTTGCCTTCGCTAAAGGGCGAGGACAGTTTATTTCACTCTGAAGAGCAGGCAGCGCCTGCACCAGGTAAGGGGGCGACAAATCTCAAGATTCTGTACCTGAGTGCGGATGCAGAACATGTGCTGACGGAGTCTGAAATGAACGACCCGGAACTTTGCATTGTAATTGGGGCGCTGGTAGATCGCAACAGACACAAAGGAGCAGGAATGCGGCGCGCCCAAGAGCTGGGAATCCCTGCTGCTAGGCTCCCGATTCAGGAGTCCGGGGTATCGCTGAACTCTTCCACCGTTTTAACAGTTAACCAAGGTTCGACGTTATGCATTTATCCTAGTTTTTGAAATTCTACTGGCATTTTGGGAAAACCGGCAATGGGGACATGCAATTAAAACGGCCATTCCCACAAGGAAGCTCAAATAAAAAATTAATTTATTAAGTGGCCCGCTCCTGGTCATCGCTCGACAAGCATTCTATTCAGGGCAGATGGTCCATAATGCGCAGCTATAGGCTCGGGACCGACTAGCCGCTCAAGCGCCAATGCATCCTCGGGCATGTTGACATACATGGACACGGTTGGCACTTGGCAATTTGTGCCGCCATTGTCAATCGGCATGCAGTAGTGAACCAGATGGTCATAAAGAGAAGGGTCAGTCGGGGGGCCAAAGAAGATCAACTGCTCGATTCCACGAAAAAGAAGTCGCTTGAAATACAGCAGCCTTTCGGAGAGCAGAAGAACACGCGTGTGACGATTGAAGAACGAAGATCTGGCGCCTATAATCTCGCCGTCTGACGAGTAATCCGAAACGGCCTTGAACGCAATATCACCTCTCTCCTGGAGCTTCGCTTTTATTTGTACATAGTCCAAATACGAGGGTACATAAATACAAATGCGCTGGGGATGGGGATTTCCCTTCATCTTGGCAATGGCAGATAGAACTTCGCTATCAAAATAAGATATCGTGTTGACGGAATCTTCCGAGCGTTTCAAAAAAAAGTTAATTGCCAGCTTGCAGCCAGCGGTCCATTTTGGCGGCATAGATGTGTTGATAGAGGGAGAGGCTGTGATTGTCGAGCCGATTTTTTCTTTTGGTAGGGCTCTCCAGAAGGAATTGATTTCCGGAGTCGCATATTTGGTGCTTATCAAAGTTTGCAGAGCCTCCTTTCCCTTTCCATCCAAAAGCAGTGGGTGGATGCGTGAAAAGTCGCACGCATAGCTCTTTGTCGGGATAAGATTGATATGTTCATGGACGTGCAGCAAATGGTCCCAATTTTGCATGTTGATGACATCTGCCTCCAAGATGATCAACAGACGAAGCGAGGAAAGAAAATCGTGATCATGCTTCATTGAGGTATCACCTTTTGAGCCGATAAGGATACGTAGGGAAAGAGGCGACGCAATAATTAAATCCGAGCCATAGAACTTTTCGTATAGAGAAATCGATCGAGACCCAATGCGGATGCCCAAACGAAAATGATCGTCAACATTTCCTTTGAAAGGTGATTCTGGAAGCTTCCTTTTGATGGGGGCCGTTGACTCGCTGATGAGGTCGCTGTCTGATTCGCTGACGGAGGCAGTCATATCGCTGTCAGAATGGACAGTCTCACCATCTGGGGGTTTTTTGTAAGAACCCAAAGAAGCACGTTTTTCGCAACTAGTGCTGTCGTCTTCTGTTAACAAGTCTTGTTCTTGTCTCTGCTCCTGCTCACCAGGACCAAATTCAGCTAGGAAACGTTTACGCGACTGGATAGTCTTAATAGATGAGGTCTCAATTAAAGAGTTGACCAGTTCAAAGGCCGAGTTTCGAAATGGAGCCAACACAAGAACAACTGGCCGCGTGAATCCTTGATCGCGAAACTCAACGTCGTCATCTTTATCGGAGGAACTCGACAAAATCTGGTTGTTTTTCTTGATGGTAGCTTTGTAGTTGCTAATGAAAGAGTAAATATATTTTGCAAGATTTTCTGTATCCCCCTGCTGTGGAAAATGATAAATTTGCTTTCCAGACTGGAGAGATTCCAAAAGCATTTAAAAAAAAATTAAAACCCCCGTTTTTAAGTGGCACGACACAGCACGGCAGGGCATCAATAAAGCCAGCCCATTTTACCATTGACAAGAAAAGCACAGTCTTTACGCCCACGCCAATTCATTCCAGCTGCTATGTCAGTGACGTAAGACAACTGTTGATGTTTTCTGCTCGTTCAAGATGTTACTGGGAGCTTGTCTTTAGCAACTTTACCATTGGTTCGTGACGAAACTACAGCGTAGCCGGTCTCCACTTCCGATCGCTTTGAGAATTATTTTTCGTTTCAATTGATCAAAGAAATAATTAGCTTGCAAGCTTTCAGGTTTGAACTGATCTTTTCGCTTCCTTTGAGCATCCCCGTGTATCCGCCGTCGATTCTCGATTTTCGGTTCAGTTGCAAAATGCCATGGAGTTCGTTTCTTTCTTGCTACAAATATCAATACAACCGTGTGCGACTTTTCTGGGGAATATTTGAGCAAAATTAAGGCTTTATTGAACGAGACAGATCGAGCCAACGACCTTGGGAAAATACCATCCAGGATGCAAGGGCTTGCCATCATTATCGGGGAGCAGAAATTAGCAGTAGTTTAAAGGCTTATATGCCATATACAATATACTCTGCTCGTAACTCGCGCGTTCCAACAACGAAACTGTGGCAAAAGGGTTAGGGTTAGGGTTAGGGTTGCACATCAGTATAGCCCCCCTCCCGCAATCAATATCTTGAATATTTAATTTGCGGTTGACTTGGGAGCACACGGAGACAGACCCAAGGTATTTGGGGAAGTTGAACATCAATAAAGTCAGTAGGCCAGGGACAGCAAAAACCAGCATGTTATACGTACCCCAGTCCTAGTACATCTTTTTTTAATTTAATTTAACTTTTAGGTGTTCTATGCTAAAACTCAATTGAATCAAATATACAAGCAATTCTTGGGCATATGAATCGATCTGTTTCCCGTTTGATAAGTAAAGGCAAGCCTTTATACTCTTTTCAGATGTTTTGAATTAAAACAGTGAGAAGATATTAAAAAGAATGAATCCATCGGCCAAAAAGTGCCGCATATTATCACTTTTAATGGAAGGGTTTGCCTAAAAGAGCTTTGTGAAAGGCATTATTGGATGATTGAAGGCCTCTTTTGCGTACGTATAGTCATCTTTAATGGTCATACCTGAACTTTCTGCATTTATGGCCTTTTTTTTGTTCATTGGAGTCTGGCACAACTTTGCAACTTTGAAGCTAATGTCTCTTCCAATTTTGCTTTATCAGATACGCAATCTTTATGCTCAGAATCCATGTTTTTTACGGAAGGAGCTAGTAGAAAAAATTTGAAAAATATCGCATGGAAGGTATTCAAGCGCTTAACTGTATTAATTTTGTTGTAACCTTTCTATTTTTGCTTGGAATTGAAATTGAAATCGCACATGGATAAAATGTCCAAACAACTGCACCCGATAAGCGGTAATGGTACCAGCAGCCATTAGCATGCAAAGCAAATCACAAAATAATCCTTTGCAAGCGGAATCTATACGAAGAATTACTTCAAATTTGTTATGCACGACGAAATGAAATCGCACATTGAGGTGTGCCCTCCTTGCTTTGAGACATGCGTGTCATATGCTTTTTGACTGATACATTTGCTTCAAACCCTAACCCTAAATCCAATGGTATGAATTCATCAAAAAAGCCATGTGAACCAATCAGATTTGAATGCGATTTGTGTTCATTAAAACGGGTCGCTTGCACCAACCAGACCCGAATTTTATTCCAGTTGATTAAACGAAATTCGGTCGATGATGCAAACATCTTCTTCACTCGTCAAATACGGATGTATGGCGGTGTTATCCGTTTGTATTGCGGCTATGATTGTTTATTTTGGCATGTTAAGAGGCACATCCGTGTCGACGGCGCCAGCAATCCGCAAAGACACATCTCTAGAGCCGTCGTTGGTATCTTCACAGCCCCGTTTTGAAACTTTAAATTCCTCTTTCATAGCCTTAAACTCCTCTTTCATAGCCTTAAACTCCTCTTTCATAGCCTTAAACTCCTCTTTCATAGCCTTAAATTCTTCGACAGCTTTAAACTCCTATTTGGCACCTTTCAATTCGTCTTTGGAAGATTCACAAGCCGATTTGATATCTTCACAAACCCCATTTCCATATGTAGAATCCCTTTTTGTACCTTCAAATTCCTCTTTTAAATCTCCAGATAGTGCGCCTGCACGCTCTTACAATACGTCCATGGCCAGTATTTCCACACATTGGAAAGTAATCGACTTTCTGGGCGTCAATCGCAAGATATGCCTGAATAAAATTATGATAGCTTGCGCCTCTTCTGGAACCAGTGTTCTACTGGTTATCAGTTACCAAATGTTCCAAAAATGGCTCCACGAGCCTCGTCCAAAAAAACACAAACCTCCCCCAATTGAGTATGAAAGAGGTTTGATTCTATTTACAATTTCGTTCTTTTATTCGTATTTTGAGCTTCTTATGAAGAAGCCCTCTGAGCTGAAACACTTTAATAACATTTTTCAAGAATCTTTTTCTACTGTCTTGCTTCGGTCTTTGTTTAACTTAATGTTATTCGCTGCCCTCTACAGCATTCTCCATAATTTAGCATCGACTTTTTATATATAACTTGAGCACACTTAAAAGCGCACGGAATCGCTTATTGATCGATTCAAGCGCTATAAAAGCAATAAAATGCCTTCAATCTTTTTGGTAAGCAGTCCGTTTTTTAATTGCCAAAAGACACGGTTGTACATCATGATGTACGGTTTATGAATTGGCGATAATTTACAAACTCTCTTGACCAATGGATGGCTTCATTGGTCGTTGTTGAGATTGACGTGCATGTTGCAACCCCAATCTCTAAAATCGTTTAGATCGAAATTGGAGGCCGAAGTTGCGTCAGAGTCTGCCGAGCTCTGTGCGAATCAATATTTCTCGGCGGCCGATATACGTCGGTATGCCGCTGAGCGGCATTTATTGTGTCGATTTAATAAAAAAGCTGCAAGGGCCCATTTTAATGTTTAAAATTGCATACGGCTCTAGCCTGGTACACGATGGAGAACTACTGATGTTCAAAGACGACCTAAACTATATGCTTTCAGATATCGAATCCCTGCCCGAAAGCTATGCTAAGGCTCTAGGGTAACTCTTGGTGCAGTAACCGATAGCGTGCTCGAACTGTGTATCAAGCTGAAAACGCCAAAATTCTTCATGCTCTTCAAATCGCTGGATTACCAGGACGTTTTTTTATCCAAGATCTTGGGCGACGGTCTGCAAGAAGAAAATAAAGGCTCTTCCGCAAAGTTGGATTTTATGGCAGCAATTTTGCTGTTCAGCTTGATGTACAGTGAAGTGCACTACAGACGCTTTTATTTCCAAAGCGAGCGGATGCCATCATGCAGCATCATCTTTATGCCGTCCTCAAATTATGCGCTCAGCAAGTTTATCCTTCGAAATCTGTCAAGGTCGGACGTTTCCATTGTAGGGTTGGATTTTTTATCCCGCTGCTTTGAAAATGAACGCATCCCACCGGCAAAGGCCGATGCCATGAAGTCGAGATTTGTGCAATTAATGTCAGATGTGGATGTTTGTGCCAAAGTGTCCACATTGGGGTATCTTTGCTTCGTCTATTTGCATTTGTTTTCCGTGCAACTGGGCAAACTTGCCAATGTTGACCAGCACGTTGAGCTATTTAAAAACGCGGATCTTTTCAGCCTGGTGTGTGATGCCCGCGAGTTTCCGTTGCCATACAAGCTGGACATCATTGATGCCTTTTGGCCGCTGCTGCCACACTGCGAAGGCAAGCTATTGCCGTATTTATACGGGCGTTCCAGAGCAGAAAATGTTTCCTGCTCCAAACTATTCAAGTCCCTGATGAATATGATTCCCAACAAGGCAACCCTTCTATTGGCGCTATCGCTGGATGGCTTTAATGAATGGATTTGCGGCCTGTTAGTTGATGTCCCCGATTTGAGGGACACACATGCGGCAACGAGCGATGCCGAAAGCAACGAGTACATTGTGTTCTACATCGGCTTTCTTAGCAACTTTTTTGAAAAGGCCAACATGCTCATTATTGGCGAAGAGCAATGTACACGGCTGACAGCGATCGTTCCGGCCACCGCAGGCCAGCAAATATTGGCGTGGTTTTCGAAAATCACAGCCATGATGCGAAGGGGGTCGACCCTTGATGCAACGTTTGCAGAGGCTCTGATGTTCCCCTTTTTAACCAGCCTTTGCGGACACGTAGCTCTTCACTTGAAACTGTGTAACTTATACGACTCCATGTGTGTTGCTGACTTGAAAACGTCGGTGTTATCTGCGCTACAGGCCATCATCAACGCACAAGCAACGGACGCCTGTGATACGACGGCGCGCAGCGGAGAGCCCAATTTTCTTGAAAAAGAATGCAAAGCTCTTTTCAACCTGCTCTCATTGCATCTAAATTAGACTTAAATTGATTAAATTTTGATCTGCTTGGCAAACACCGATGTTTACGTGCACGACGGCCAATGATTATTTTGCCACCTCCATCAACACTTCTCGATGCGTCGACCATTGACCAGATATATTGCAGCGTTTCTGCTTGTCTACACTTTGGTTGGGGCTTTGTATCTTTTTGGCCTGTTCGATTTGAATGTATCCGGACCCTCGGCAGGTGAAAATGGAAATTCGCCTTCCCATCCCATCGGCATCAAGATGAAAAAAGCCACGGCAGATTCATACTCCAACAATGGACATGACGACATGGACGATCAATTGATGGTCGAATATGAATTGGAGGACGAGCCCTCGACCCTGGCTTCCACGCACAACTTGGCCCTTGGGGCATCGCTGAAATGGAAGAAGACCCTTTTGGAGTGTTCCAGAGCCAAAAAAGACCTTCGAACCGCAAAATCCCAGCTTCTCTCTCAGGATAAAGGTATATCGTTGGCGTTCATCTCCCCTTCCCAATAGAGTCGGACCGCTTGAGATATTTGCTGAACCTGGCCACACTTAATCCAAGATGCTCTAGCGCAGACATACCGCCGATGGAGGAAGATGCTGCACAAAATGCAGCTCCAAAATTTTTGGCCGAAGAATACACAGAAAGGCTGGATCCCTCGTCCATCTACTGCCTTGGGACGGATCGAGATTCACGGACTTGCCGAGTTAAAAACTTGTACTACAATGTGAAGGAGAAAAGGTTTTTTCTCATCAAAGGGGCGCTTTCCGAATCAGTTGGACTCCCCAGTGCTACGCAATTGGAGTCTGATGGCGGCATTCTGGTCGACTTGACCTCGCTCCAGAACCACGCCATTTTTTCTTGGAGTCCAGAGCTGGTCGAGGATGGCTTTCTAGATAAACCCCAGACAATTCATCGCATATATGACAAGTCTGTGCTTTTCAGCAGATTTGTGCCGGGAAACACGATGCACTCCATCCATGATGATCTTATCGGCTATTATTATCTTCTTCGCCGTTGGCTGCCTTCCTTTAAAGACGATTTGGAGGATCCTTTTGACAGAAGCCATCATTTGGTCTTTTTAGATGATCACGGTGAAGGCCCCTATTCCCATCTATTCAATCACCTGACCGATTGGCCCATACGCTATAAAGTGAAGGATCTGGACAATGCTACTCCCGAACACTCGTTAATCGTCTTTAAGGATGCCATTGTTGGCAACAGCAAGGAGGCTAATTGGTACCAATATGGGTTTTCAGAGCCCCAGGGCCCTATTCCAGGGAAGAAAGTTTCTGGAGACAAGGTGAGGGTCGTTGCTGCATACTTGCTACGAAAGCTGGGAATTCCACCGTGGAATCTCACGGTCGTTCGGGAATCCATTTCAGAAGCAACTAGACGGACGCTGTTGGATCAATTCCAAGACATCATTTCGGAACATGCCAAGGAGTATCACGACTCGGAGGGCCCACCGCCCACAACACCGGCATTGCAGGAAGTCGCACCTCCCAGCGACGACAAGCTAGATTCGCCTTGCATAGCAATCTTTTCTCGACGAGGGGACCGTCTAATGGTAAATGAGGGGCGATTGGCTCTGGCCCTAGATCGGGCGTTTGGGCTGCCAATCTATTTTATACGCAACGAAGATCTTTCGTTTGAAAAGCAAGTTTCCATCTTGAGAAGGTCGATCATTGCAATTGGGATGCATGGATCGCTTCTCATCTTGAGTATGTTTCTTCCCCCGAGAGCTCTGCTTATTGAGCTCTATCCCCTGTGGGTCCCCGGAAATAATTATACCCCCTATAAGACGCTTGCTGCACTGCCAGGTATCGATTTGTGGTATGGCGCGTGGATGAATAAGCATCCAAAGCTGAACATCCCACATCCAGAGTATCCCGCCTCTCATGGCGGGCTGCAGGATTTCAGCGAAGAACTACGAAACAGGGTTTTGTCAACAGAGGGCGTGCCCACTCATCTTTGTTGTACAGACCCTTTTTGGCTCTTTCGCATTTACCAGGATACATATGCACACATTCCAGAGATTCTGGGTGACTTCATTGCGCCTGGACTGGCTGCCACAAATCGGGATCTTCAGCAAGACGCACATAATCTGTTTAAACGCCGCTCAAATAGCTTGAACATCCCACCGGCTCAAATCAACAGCGACATGGTTTCATACCATTGGAGCTTTGAACCGTTTTCTTTGCATTTGAAATGGGCAAAGCCGTGGAATGTCAATGAGGTCAAAAGATATGGCGTTTGGATTCATCAGATTTACTATGAATACGACACGAACCAGGCGATGGTGGACATTGTTGACCTTGATCCTGCGGTGTGTAATAAGGGTGAGGTGCATTTGTGGATCCGATCATACTATGATTCTGGTGAAGCCGCCGATGCCCACACCCCATGGAGTAAGAAGGTCGTTTGTTTGTGTCCAAAAACGCCGTAAAGCCACATCCTATTCTTTGTAATTAATCAAATAAATTGCCGTAACTATTGTCACTTCTTGCATGTCACACTGATGCTTATAGGATGGCATCGGTCACTGGATTTGGGTGAAAAATGAAACTTTATAAAATGACAAAATTACGAGGTGATAAAATGGCGTTCAAGTCTACGCATTTGCACGGCTACTCGCCACGGCAGCCATGGTCTGGATGGACCTATCAAAGCCAAGCTCATATCTAAATGGCAAATGGTGCGCAATCGAATTCGAGGTGACGAGCATATGGCAATGGTGCTGTCCCTGGCTTCTCTGCAGAAGCGTGTACTTGAACGCCTTATCTGGGCATATGCTGGACGCTAGGTGGGTATATTCTTCTCCCGCTGCGGGAGATGAAAACTCTAGCGTTGAGGGGAGCTCATCTACTTTGTATATTTGGTAATATATCCCAGGGGAAAGCAACTTGATATTATTACAGGCATCTGGGAGCAGTTGATTTGAAGATGATGGCGATCGTGATCGTGATCGTGACAAACTATTTCCTCTTAATAATTTGTCGGTGCTTTGGATATCATTCATTGCCTCCTCAAAGACGGGAGAATCTTCGTTGAGATAATAGAAAAACGAGCGGCTAACATATTTTGATGCGACCATGATGAGCGTGCAAAAGTCTCGGATCGATCCAAATGAAAGATGCGAAACCAAGTCGTTGCCATAGTTGAAGGTAAAGATGTTCCCATGGCACTGCGAGCGCTCGACAAGATGCTCCGAAATAACTGCCGGCGTGCCATAACAATAAAAAGACAAGTCATCTGGGTGCCATTGCGTGGATTTTGAAGACTCCCAGAGATCATTGAGCAGAAGGCCGAGGATGGCACACACACCGGCCCCCATGGAATGGCCACAGACAACCACTTTTTTGGTGTTGTACACGCCCATGTATTTTGGGATGGTGTCCGAAAAGACATTTTCAACCATCCATTGCGCGCATGTGAAAAACCCGCCATGGAGAAGCCCCTCTTTCCACGATATGTAGTCACAGTTGAAGTCTGTCACGGCGTCAAATAGAGACTAAAAATAGGCAAAACCCCCCTACCATTGAGCCGCGAATGGAGATGATGATCGAGTTTGTCTCTTTGTCGTAAAAAAGCAAATAGGCCGGCTGATACACCGACATCTGCTCCAGCTCGTTGACAAGCAAGTGAGCAGGGTCGATTTGCAGATACTGCACGATCGCCACCTTGTTGGAGATAAGCACATCTACATTCTGAATTGGCGATGCTTACCCTTGATGGCTGCGTTTGAGGACTTTTTGATATTTGAATAGGCGATGCCAACGCGTCCCTACATCCGTTAATTGGGCAATAAAATTACATAGGCAGCACAGGCGTATTTCAAAATCGCCCTTGCAGTTGAGTATACCTTGGGATTTGTCTCTATAACACCACTTGGGATGCTAGCAGGGTGAGATTAAACTACAAGCCAACTACCTTGAATTTCGGGCATAATATTTTGACAGAAGAATGATGGAAAAGGTCACCAAGGCATGTGAAAGCTCCAGCCCACGTAGAGCTCCCTCTAAATGGTTCTGGATGTCCAAAATTGCCTTGAACGCCTGCTTGTCAAGAAAAGGCGCACAACAACCTAAACAAGGATTTGGTTTCATGTATCTTGAGCGCAGATATATCGATTTGGCCTCTAAAAGATACGACAATAAATGCGGCATACCTTCGGCAGTAAGAGGCTTGTTGGAAAAAGACTGCGTTTTGAACATATCTTGCCTTACAGCCGAAATGGGATACGTAGTTGTATCGTAACTGATTTTGCAGCTGTCCCTTAAGCCATTTGCGTTCAAAAACTGCGAAATCCCATGCGACACAAACTCGACCGAAATGCCAACCAGACCCTAGAATATAAAGATGCCTTTACCCGTGTCGATGAGCTGTCTAGTGGCTCTTGACTCGGCATAAAGTATAAAGACTCGGTGTGCCTGGCGCCCAACAGCTCCAAATACATGGTAAAATTATCTCCGTGGCTGTGAAACCTGGATATCTTAATTGCAGCCTTTCCAATTAACTTGCTTCCAAACGGGAACGGACATCCTCTCTTTGCAAACAAATCGATCTAAAGCTTAAACTGATCTTGATCGTACATGCACATAATCAAACAGCTCGGCATGCAACGAAACCCAAAAGATAAACTTTTGACAGAGTTCAATATTGGCGTTCGACTGTACCGGCTTTTCGCGGGATCCAACAGAAACCAGCACCATATCACCATTTCTAGATATGGGCGAGGAGATCAAAGAAGACGAAATAACGGTGTTTTGTGGATACCATTTCGGCTTTTTATTTACACCAAGCTGAAACGGTTCACCTTTATAGTAATGCGACCCCACTTTAAGCATGAGGTAAAAGTCATTCAAAAGATGCTCGGCCGATATAACTTGAAGGACTGTGATGATAAGTGCATGTTTTTCTCCCCTCAAAAGCGGATTTTTCTCTTCAACGTAATAAGGAAACGATGTCGAAAAAATCGATTGCGATTGGTCTGGAGTTATCAATGAACCGGTTTGCGCCTCGATATCGATTATTTTAGAAGAAAAGCGCTCTTTCATCGGCTGGAAATGGCTCGGTGTAATTATTTCTATCATCCAAGAATAGCAGGAAGGTTGATTCGATATCAAGAAATCCAATCATTTCTTGCCCGGCTGTCATTTTACAAATGACTTGCGGTGCAAATTTTACTGTGTCAATTTATTAGGGTTAGGGTTAGGATTGGCTGAGAAAGATGGCTACAAAACTGCTACTTGATGACGGGTCAATGGGTGGTCGGTGGGTTAGATAGACCAAACAACACTGCTTGCATTTGAACGGAATTTGATGTCAATTTTCGCATGATAATGCAGCATCTTCTTTAGCCATTTTGTACGGGGATTTTCTGCGTGGCGAAAGGAAATGGGAATCCCATTGCGCCTTGTACTTTCGATAAATCAACATCGCTGCGCGGGCATCCTCGACCGAATTATGTGTTGACGTTTGGATTTCAACATTCAACAGGGCAAGGGTCAGTTTTTTTAAGCTTGGCGTTGCGTGACAGTTTATAAGCTTTCTTAGCGGCTTCCAAGTGGATGTGTCTCTGATCCTCTTTCTGGATATACTGATCATTAGAACCTAGTCGAAGTTAGGCCTACATAGCCTCTCTTACTTTAAAGTCGTTTGAAAGCCCATGCCCAACGACAATCCGGTTCTCTAGTATCGAATTTACTTGATTGATGACGTTGGTGAGCGTTTCGCCCTTCGTCAGATGCCAGGGTTTGATCCCGGTGATTTTTTCGCGGTAATCTGTGACGCGTTCCAGCGGCTTCACATAGGCATCCAAAAGCACATGACCATGATAATTGACAATGGAAACTCGTGCAAGTATCGACCGAATGCCATGTGGTCCGACACCCACCATTTCGCAATCGATAGCAACATACTTGCCAGGATCCCTAGTTGTAAATACAATGTGCACGCGAAACTTTGAATCCGAGCCATAGTGTGGGAAAAGTTGCAAGAGCGACTCTGAGGACGGTTGGTCAATGGCTTTCTGCGAAAGCCCAGTGGACGAATATCCAGCTGCAGACTCCGCAGGTACCAATGCAGGGGTATGCAGATGCTCACTGGAGGTGGGTTTTTCGGCCCCTCGGGGCTTGGTTGAAACCCTCTTCATTGAGCGACGTAACGCTTTCCAATTAGCATCTGGCATAAATTTTAAAAAATTTCGCTAATGTTTTATTAATTAATGACCGGATTGGGATCAATGAATCAACGGGCTTGGACCTAATGGGGTCAGTATAGTTTACATGGTTACAATATCGTCGATCTTCATTATCATGGCAATGGTTTCACTAGCAAGCTCAATTGCAGACGTAGTCACCAACAGCGGCTGAACGACATGTTCGGCAAGCATGTCGGAAATGCACCCCTAAAGTTTAGAAATACAACGTGCAACCACCTTTCGAATGTTAATTCCACAGTTGGACTCGCCCTGGGCATGTCTACTACGAAGCTCGGTGACCATGGTCAATGGATCAAGACCGGCGTTTTCGGAAAGAGTTATGGGAACCACATCAAGGGCCCGAGCATAAGCGTCCACACATATTGAGGCTTTTCCGGAAAGCGAATGGGAGGCCCATTGGCCCAGAAAAGAGGAGAGGTAGGATTCCGGGAAACCGCCACCTGCAATGAGCTGCTTTTTTCTGACAAGACAACGAAGGACACACAAAGCATCGTGAAGAGATCTTTCAGCCTCGTCAAGGACAACTTGGGAAGCACCGCGTACCAAAACGGAGGCAGTCTTGCCGCCGTTTTTGATTCCGCTGACACGGACATATTTGGAGCAAGCGCCCTCCATTGAGATTTCCTCGACCAAATCTGCAGATCCCAGCTTGTCTTCGGAAAACGAAGAGATATCTGCAATTGGCTTGCACCCGAGCGTCTTTGCAATAAAATCGATCTCATCCCTTTCGATGTCCGAAATTACCATGACCTTCAACTTGGAAAGAAAATTCAGGGCCATCTCTGAAAGAGCGTCTCGAAGAATGGATTTCTGTACCAGTAAGACGTTGCAGTTGGCTTTTTTGATCTTTTTGCAAATGTTCAGCAAGTATTCGCGCTCTTCTTTCAGGATTTTGTCAATTTGGCGATAATCGGTGACGACAACTTGACTTTCCATGTCCGTTTTTGGAGGGGACAGTTGGAATTGAATGAGGCCAATTTTGGCCTTCTCCATCTTCAAAGGGCCGCTGGCAGATGAAACTGCAGGCTGCCTCAAAAGAAGGCCACCTGCGTCCATCAGCTCGAGATCTTCCAGGGTGCATCCAAGCTTTTGGATGACCCGAATATCGTTCAAGTCTACCGAGCACTCGGAAAGGTCTGCAACGCGCAAGATCGAATCCACCGCAACTGCGGACATCATCGGGGCCAGTTGCGAGACGATTTTTGAATTCAAAGAGGTGGAGGCGCTCCAAATCAAAGAGGCACGGTCAGAAAGATCGACCGTGATGGAAACGGACTCCAAAGCCTCAACGGCCTTGCGGGAGGCAAGTAGAAACGACTCTGCAATGACCGTTGGATGGATTCCCTTTTCAAGCAGGCCCTCTGCGGCATTAAGCAAAGCTCCAGCAATCACAACCACGGAGGTTGTCCCGTCGCCGGTCTCTGCATCCTGAGCCTCTGAAAGCTCAACAAGCATTTTAGCGCAAGGGTGCAAAACGGACATGTTTTTTAAAATGGTGGCGCCATCATTTGAAACCAGAACTGACGTTGGACTTGTGACAATCTACAAGGTTAGCCATATGCGATCCAACCATCTTATCCATGCCCTTTGGCCCGAGAGACGATCGGATTGCATCGGCAACCGCTATGCGTAAGCGGAATTGCAAGGATACCTTTGGCTGCCGTGATGTTACTGAGACGAACCTCATAAGGCTTGTCCTTGTCCTTAAATGCCATCGTTTTTGGACCGCCCGATGCACCAGCACCAGCACCAACAGCAATTGTTGCCATACTGGAAAATATAAAATCCGTACAATTTAATTAATTTGTAAGTTGTGATCCCAACCCTAGGGGTGGGCAAATCTCGAATCGATCAATACATCCAATCCGAAAATGTAATAAATTGCATCAAATGTCATTTTTCCACTTTGATGTCTGCCGAGACGCAAGCATTTTCTTCCCACGACCTTCAAGGCTCTTCGCCGTCGCCATCAAACCTGGCTCCACATTTCATTAACGGGTTTTCTGACAAAACAGGAGCCTCTCAAACAGGCCCCACCACCATTATGAATGGAATTAACCAATTGAAGAAGCAAGGCGAGAAAATGCTCGCCGACCACGTGCCCACAACAGAGGCTCTGGGAAAATATATCAAGTCCATCCACGATTCCATCAACACACCCTTGGTTCCGTCCACGAACTACTGGCTCATAGGCTACAAGGCCCTTGAGAAGCTTGGGTCGCCCCTATTTGCTGCTTGGGGGAATTGCACCACACCTACGGCAAAGGTGCTTATGCTCCTCCTTGTTGGCATGATGTTTTGGATGCCCCTTCTTTTGTTCTTTTGGTTGGTTCTTCTTCCAAGCGTTTCGTTCCTAACGCTTGCGTATATCCTTCTTTTTGGAAAGCGAAACCTTCAATTGCATTTAGAAGAAACATTTACCTATGCCACCGGTCTGACCGTCAAGGTGCTTTTTACTTGCATTTACCATTTTAGGAGGGCATCACTGTGGTTGAGGATGCCACCCGGGCCACCCTTGTATTGATGTCCCATGTCGTGGACCAGGTAGCCGTTTTCGTGCTCTGATCAAATAGATGCCATTTATTAAACCAGATGCAATTAAAGCACAGCTTTACGATCTCTCCGTCGCTACCATTGCGGTGCTGTTATCTGCCTTGGGCTCCTTGGAAAAGGTGCCGTTTGGGCGTTTTTACTTGTGTAGTTTCTTCATTATTTAGATGCCGGCCTACACACCAACTGCAAGCCCAAAGGTTGCAAAAAAGCAAAATAGATTCCATTACAATACAATACGATGAATACATTATTTTAATGCACTACTTTTCGCGTTTGGTTTATTTGACAAGTTTGGATATCATTCTCCTCTAGTGGACCAAATCCCAAATCGGGCCTTTAGTAGCTGCGTTGCAGCGTCGCCGGTGTCGGCAAGCTCGTTTTTGGAGATGAAAATCCTTGAGCCCTCGTTAATGTTAAGCTATCCATATAATTTCACCCCGCATACCTTGGAGTAGATCAGGCCGCCGAGCCACGGGAGCAATTCTTGCCGGCCCCGAAAGTCTGGAAAGTAATCGGGAATCTTTGCAAGGCAAAACGTGGTCATCTGAGTGGCGCTTTGATATTCAGAGCCGTTCTCCAGATGGCGCACACTGCCCATGATTGCATTCTGAAACGAAAATGGCTGGCCTTTTGGCTGCATCGAAGGTCCTCCCACAATGACAACCGACTCGGCCACAATGGGGCGGCGTAAGGGATCCACGTATCGCAGCACAAATGAAATCCCATATTCAACGACCGCAGAAAGGTCGCTAGCCAACGCATTATGTAAAAGCGAAACAAGCTTATTGGAAAACACCGCCTTGTGTCCGTCCAGAACAAAGGAGAGGGACCCACATAGGAACCTTCGAATCGCTTCTTCAAGTTCGCTCGCCGCGACACAGCTAAAGGAATGAGCAGCATCGCTCTTGTCCTCACATGAGGCGTCCAAAATTTCAGCCACATTTTCAGAAACAATTTGCAAAAGTTTGCATATCGAATGGCTGGTCCCTTTCGGGTGGCAGTAGCTCGCATAAGGAATTACAATCCCATCGATCAAGGGAACAAAATCTATGCTCAGCAAACGAACATACCAATTGACGAGGCCTCAAAATCCACCACAATGCCAGACATGTTCCCAACCCCACAGATCGTGGCAATCGGAATCGGAGCCGCATGAACAACATTAAAGAGCTGGAGAACAACATTCGTGATCAAAGAAAGCCTTTCAAGCGACGAAAATATGAAATAAGGCAAAAGCACAATTGCGGCCGTTTCGCAAAATGGCCTGCATGAGGAAAGCTCCTGCTCTGCGCCTTTGAGATACTTCAGCCTAATGGTTCTCATAAAAAATCAATGCAAATACCATGTCTGTTTAATGGTTTCATTGTCTTCGTCGTGGAATGCAAACAAGCCCTCCTCGACGAAAATGTGATGATTCGGGGTACAATATGGCGTATCAGATGCAATAAAATCAAAAACAAGCAAGTGTTCATGGCAAACAAGCAACATGTTGAACGCGCTCGAAGTGGACGACGAAAGAGAAGACTAGGTAAAGCTCTCATTAACTTACCAATGATTGCTCCATAGCTCCAATTGTGCCGAAATACTTTTATGTAGTTTTGAATTTCATATAACTTTTTGCAATTTAAGCACATATCTTCCTTAGTATAGTGGTTAGTATATCCGCCTGTCACGCGGGTGACCGGGGTTCGATTCCCCGAGGGAGAGTTTTTATTCCATAAACATTCATTTTAATATCTGTAGCTCTCCGTTTTAAAGGGGCCACAGCTGTCGACATCAATGTATTTCGCCTGCTTTTCAGTCAATTTTGTAAGCTTAGCACCAAGCCTGGACAAATGGGCACATGCAACCTGTTCATCGAGCTTTCTAGGCAGCATGTGTACTCCAATCGGGAATTTATCTTTGTCGGCCGTCCACAATGCAATTTGGGCCATCACCTGATTGGTAAAGGACAGGCTCATCACAAAAGACGGATGCCCAGCTGCACATCCCAAATTTACCAAGCGACCAGAAGCCAGCAAAATCACATGTCGATCATTTGAAAGCAAAAGGCGCTCAACATGAGGCTTGACTTCAGTGGTGGAGACCGCATTTTCTCTGAGCCAAGCAACATCAATTTCATTGTCAAAGTGGCCAATGTTGCAAATGATGGCGTCATCCTGCATCTTTAAAATGACTTCTGCAGTGATGATGTCGCAGCATCCGGTGGCTGTAATGAAAATGTGGGCCTTTTCGGCAACTTCCTCAATGGGACGCACCTCAAATCCCTCCATGGAAGCCTGTAGAGCCGTGATGGGGTCAATTTCGCTAATGATGACCCTCGCACCAAGACTGGATAAGGCGGCAGCACAGCCTTTGCCGACATCCCCGTATCCGGCCAAGGACACTGTCTTTCCAGCGATCATCGACCCTGTTGCGCGTTTGATTCCGTCGACAAGAGATTCTCTGCACCCGTAAAGATTATCAAATTTAGATTTTGTGACCGAATCGTTGACACTGATAGCGGGAATGCCAAGCGATCCTTCATTAAAAAGACGGAAAAGCATTTTGACGCCTGTCGTTGTCTCCTCCGAGACGCCCTTAATTTGAGGCAGAAGATGTGGATGTTTGGTGTGAACGATTTTGGTCAGATCGCCCCCATCGTCAAGCAGAAGATTTGGGCTTTGTTGATTTGGGATTTCTGAAAAGGCATACAGCGATTTCTCAATGCACCACAAATACTCTTCCTCTGTTTCGCCCTTCCAAGCGAATATGGGGATTCCGATGGACGCAACGGCAGCGGCAGCATGGTCTTGAGTGGAAAATATGTTGCAAGAGGACCAAGTCACTTGGGCACCAAGCTCCAACAACGTCTCTATTAGCACTGCTGTCTGAATGGTCATATGCAAGCACCCAGTGATCCGAGCGCCATTTAACGGCTTCTTTGGCCCATAAAGCTGGCGTAGCTCCATCAAGCCGGGCATTTCAATTCTGGCCATTTCGATTTCCTTTTTGCCCAACTCAGCTAAGCCTATGTCCGCTACGAGTAAAGATGGCTAAAAGATGCAAGTACCGATTCGATAGTTCGTTCCTACTGATGCCATTTGTGAAAGGCTCGACAAGAAGCACCATTTTTAATCAATTTGAAAAGGCTTTGGTTGTGCCGTTTGATTTACGCGGTGAAACAAACCTAACTCAATTCTCCGAATTGCAAATACCAATGGCAGTGCAGGAAACATTCTGCACAGCTGCAGCACAACACGCCCCCCCCCATTAGCATTTAAAAGTAAGCTAGTTTTTAATGCCAAAATATGGTTCCTGGCAGATTGCACATGATGGGCTGGTTTACCGGTGGGATAGCATTTTTTGGGCAGATGACGAAGTATCGGCTCTGGTGATTTCTCGTAAAGCCATGGTAGCGTAACACGAAGAGGGTAAGGAAAATTCAAGCTTCAGCCCGAGGAACGAGCATTTCTGCTTTTTGTTCAATTGATGGTCTTTTTCCTGTTCTCCCTCGGGTGCGTCTCCCGCCTGTGGCTCCTCAATGACGTTTAGCTTATTTTCCAACATTGGCGCAATTACGGTCTCCTCTGAGCTTGAATACTCGACAAAATTGTAGCTCAAATCGACAGGCTTTGATACAAGCTTCCGATATGCGCCCGCCAATCTGCCCATTTTACAATTCTCGCCAAAATTTGAAATGTTCGTGCTGTTATTAAACAGCGTAGCGATGAACAGTTCCAGTTTGCCCATCAAACCAGAAATGCTGGGGTATTTTATGCTATTTCCAGGAAGGGGGAGGACCACATGCTCCAGACCATACTTGGACAATTGCTCCTCGCTCTCAAGCATTAGAACAGATGAATTGTGATCCATGACAAGATCTCCAACCATCAAACCTCTGCCCAACAATATCCTCTCGGTCGCCATAAAGTTCCATATGAGACTCTGCACAGCATGCACGTACATCATTTTCATTTCATGTGGGATCTAGAACATAAAAGCCTCCGCATACACTATGGATGGCTCCCAAACAGTCGCTGACACTCGATTGCTTCGAAAAGAAACTCATCAGACATTTTTCTGGAAGCATGGAATGGGGAAGACTGGCAATCACCATAGAAGCCGTCTCTACAGTGGGGCTTTGGGCCCACAGTTTTCTCGCATTTTCAATTTCCTCCTTTTCTAAACTAAAAGCTAAAAGCTATACCTTGGCCAGGGGGCCTCGGGGCCATGATCAGTCGGATCACCTCTGGCCAGTTTTCCTTGAGAATCTCGATTCCCACCAAATGGGTCATAAAATCGCCTACAGTTCCAAACCTCTGGGCTCCATAATAGTTGATAAATCCGGCATTTTTCAACGCCAAAATATTGCCCTCAATCTCCTCACCACTACTGATGCTCAAGTCGCGAAGAAAAATCGAAAATCGGTTGCCCCAAAGGTCGGTCCCTAGAAGAAGCTGGTCCGCAGCAGGCTTGACATCGCTAACCCACATCCCAAAAGACCTCAATATTTTATTCAGAGAAAGGAGCCTTTGCAAGGAAATTCTATTGGCCCCTTGGTTGTTGATGACAACTCGTTGGATTGTCACGGCACGCTTGTCTTTTGTGCCGGCAAAAGAAAAGTGTTTTGCGGGCTTCCTGATCCATTAAAACCTAAAGTGCTACCTCAAAAAATACGCCATTTTGCCAATCGTTTCCATGGTACTTCTATTTTGCTTGTACAAATAAAACTGAACAAATTTTGGACGCTCAAAACAAGCATCAGAGCTTTGGGATGCGGCGTGCGTTTTCTCGCGCGTCAACCTTCGTCGAGTAACGGTGATAACATTTGTTTCTGGAATGGTCGAGGAATACAAAACGAAGCCAGATTTTGAGATTGACTCGTGCTTCAGATACTGATGGATAAGTGTCCTTTTTTCCTTGTTGGCAATGGGGTAGCTTTCAATTACCTTCGATTCGCTCGAGGAAAGCAACGAATGAACGGAGACGACAAATTCGTTCAATTTTTCAATGCTTTCTGGATCGGCAAGAAATAATGACACCCACGGCTCCTTCGATTTCCAATCATCGTCAGATGTCGGTTCATCGGCGACTGGGGAGGAAATGGAACATTTTGGGGCGACTTCATTTGGAGGCAAAGCCTCTACTTGATCGTCTTCAACGATGTTTTCTGCAAGAGGAGCCGTAGAACTCTCAATGCTGGTCAGGGCTGGGTCTTCGCTGTCATCAGACATGGGCACGGCATCACTTGGCAAAGGAGATACAATCTTAGCGATCGTCCCATCAGGAAGAATCTCTGTCACATGGAAATCAGAATATCTTGCCTTAAGGATGCATGGAAATGACTTTAAATTTGGAGTAAGAAATTCGGAAATGTAGACCGAATTTTCCATTGTGGCAAAAGCAATAAATTTGGCGTTTAATTTTTATTTTTGTCATGAAAAAACCCCCCAAATCCATTAAGCCAGAATCGCTCAGTGATGAACAATGGTTAGATCAGCTAATGAAGTCGAGAAAGCCTAAAACCCCGCCAACAGTAAAAGAACCCGCACAGAAGGAACACAAACGCTCCAAAGTAAAAAGCCAGGCATCAGAGTCCTGGCTGGATATCAGCACAAATCCAGAATCGTCTTCAAAAGAAAGAAGACTTACCGAGGATGGATATCCGATTTATCAACTTTCAGAATTAATTTCGACAGCCGGTGGAGGTATATTTGACGTTTAAGCGTTCATGTGTGTAGATACTGCGGATTGTCCATTCAATTGTAGCTGCTGTTTTTAGGGTGGCAGGGGATGATGAACTGCTCCTTCCCTTCAGGAGTATGCCTCCTTATCGCTGCCACAGGTTCTGCTTCGCTTTGCAACCAATAAAGCTATTTGATACCTGAAGCCAAGGATCTGTGCAATGGGCTTCAAAATCCCTGTCGGCATAGATCGATGCAAGAAAATACAGCACATCTGAAGATGAAAGGCAACAGCTTGGGTTTAGTCTCTTGCGCATCCCGTGCAGAAAACAACGGCATCGACAGGGATCGCTCGTTAATTGTCCATCGTGGGTTGCTCAACATTAGCGTGCCCTTGCACGCCGTTGAAGCGGCCATATGATGCATTCAATGCATGCAGACAAATCATGTAATTGCTAGCAAGGGAATGTTAGCCAAAAATATCGGTTCTATCAAAAGACACCTTGAACAATGGTCGATGATCATTTCAAGTTATGAGGATTTATTTAATCAAATTAATGGAGCATACGACGAGACTCGATAATGACATTAGAAAGCTCCTCGACCTTTTTCTTTCCACGGATATAAGTTCCCAAACGGGCTTTTGCGAGCTTCCGTGCACGCTTGTCTTTGTTGTTTTTTAGCAACTCCATAATACGCTTCTCATATGGAGCAAATCCGACGACCTCCCTGATAAGAGAGCGGACAAACTTTACGCGAGTTCCAAGGTGCTAAAAAAATAAGATACATAAACCAAATATGCGAAAACAGAAATAAACAACAAATTGGCCATATTAATGATGGATGAAATTATGGAAATTCCAAAAACATTAAAAGAGCATGAAACATAAAAAAGCTCCGAAATGGAGCACACGCACAGAAAAAGGCGAGTGAAAAGAGCATTAACTTACTCCTTTGCGGTTGGATGGTTTTGGAGGAAGGGCCTTTCGAGCTGTGACATGTCCCTTGTTGAGTCCAACAACGATCCCAGAACGAGAAGGAAGTGAGGAAGGCGAAGAGGTCATTTCTAAAATAATTAAAATTTAATTTTTAAATTTAAAATGATGGTCACTTCCAAACCACCATCTCATGTCTCCCACACACATCTTTCTACGCTGTTTAAAGAGCGTGCTAATATGCTTAATAAAATAGAAGATAGAATTGTTCTTTTATTTTCTTCTGGCGCCACTTTACCTTCCGAAAGATCCGATGCTGTTAAGGAATGTTTATTGGAGATTTCCTCTATTCTGAAGGAAAATTATGTCAATGTGGTCAGTGTGCTTAAAAGTCTGGACAAGGAATATATTTCTTCTTCCTCCTCCTCTTCTTCGGCTCCGTTTTCGTTAAATTACTATTTACAGGATTCATATCCAAAAGTATGTCTTGGATTTGAAAATCCTCTGCTTGAAAAACCAGAATCCATTGACAATCAGCATATTTTGATGAGATTGGTGATCATCCATTTCTATCGCTCTGGTCTTTTTGATGTAGCCGAAACTTTAGAAAAGGTATTTTATTTTCGACCGATTTTAGGAATCAAATGTTTTGATTGATTCGATAGCGAAGGATCAATTTAAGGCGCTCTTTTTGATTTGCTCTGCATTGGAAAATACAGAGGGGCCCAACATTGAGCCATTGGTTGAATGGGCAAATTCTGTCGTTGCTACTGGCGCTAAAGAAAATCACCCTACACCATCATTCAAAGAGGATATTCATGAGCTTCTATTCCAGGCCTGCAGCCTGAGATTTGTCTTTTTGATTTCAAAAAACGAGCTTGATTGTGCACTTGAATATTCAAAATCAGAGCTGTCCTTTTTTTCGCAAGACAAGTATTTACAAAGTACGTTCGATTGTACCGTTGTTTTTAGGGATCAAGAAACTAATGTCTTTCTTGCTGTTCCCAGCACACCGTGTGGATGTTTTGCCGCATATTCGGAGTCTTAAAAGAAAACTGGTGACCTTGTATTGTGTTTGGATGAACCTTTCCCCCTTTTGTCCATTAGAGGAGTGGTATTGCTTTTCTCCTTAATGGCCATAGTATGTCGCTAGGGCTGGCATCTTTACCTGTCATTTTGAAGGCAACGGAAAAACTTGCAGAGTCCAACAACCCGATAGCGGGAGATGGCGAATTCACAGATCTCACTAGCCAGGGATCCTTACTTGAACCTGGAATAATAAACAAATGGCGGCGGTTGGAGGAATTGCCTGTGGAGGTTTCGATTGCCTCGCATTTCCGCTCGCATTCGATTTTTACTTGTCCCGTCAGCAAGCAAACCTCAAGCAGCGAAAATCCACCGCTGCGGATTTCTTGTGGCCACGTGTTGTCCAAAGAGGCCGTCAGCAAGCTGTCTCGTGGATTTGCCTTGAAATTCAAGTGTCCATATTGCCCCGTTGAATGCGAACCCAGTCAATCGCTCCAGCTGTATTTTTAGCAGCCCCAGTTTGCAAGTGTATCTTTATTTTGTACAGTACAATAAATGTGTAAGCGACCACGATATCCCCTTCACCTTTACATCCTGAAGATTCCGAAATTCGTCTTTGGGTATTTCTCATCGTGCACAACGGATAGCGACAGGGCAAGGATGTGCCTCGTGTCTTGCGGCAAAATGATTCCATCATCCCATAGCCTGAATGTTATTATGCAACTCACCGGTACCTTGCTGACGAGTAGTAGGGATGCGCCTCGCGCTCAAATTGCTCCAATAGCGACGATTTTAGGGACGCATCGGTAGGCTGTTTCGAGGATTGCTGCTTTATGTGGAGAAGAACATTTGCCGCCTGTTCGCCGCCCATCACAGAAATGCGCGCATTGGGCCACATGTACAAAAAGCGAGGGCTAAATGGTGAAACGATCAATGGTCAGCTCGAACCTGTATGAGCGCCCACACATGCCATAATTCCCGGCGCCATAACTGCCACCAATGATGAGCGTAATTTTGGGGACATTGGCACATGCAACGGCATTCACCAATTTGGCACCGTTTTTTGCGATTCCCTCGGACTCGGCCTTTGAGCCAACCATGAAGCCTAAACAGGATCTCAAAACGCTGCCAAAAATACCGGTGATGTTTTGTAAAAAGAGAATAGGAATGCCTCTCTGGCAGCAGAGCTCAATAAAATGGGCGCCTTTTAGCGCGGATTCGGAAAACAAAATCCCATTGTTCGCAAGGACCCCAACAAGGATGCCATTAATACGCGCAAGCCCTAAAAATGACATCCTCACTGCTGGCGAGTACCTGTAACCAGCGACTTTGCGTATTCGGCCTTGAATTCATGGAATTTGCTGCCGTCAACAAGCCGAGCAATGACCTTTTTAACATCAAAAGGACGCTTCAAATTTGTCCCGATGATTCCGTCGATTTCGCTGATGTCAAAAAGAGGGGGTTCTGCATCGGCAAACGACATTTTCTTGTTTGCCGGCAGCGAAGAGATCACATTTCTTGCAATTTCTACAGCATGCAAGTCATTTTCGGCCATATGGTCGGTAAAACCAGATGTTTTGCAATGAATGCTGGCGCCGCCAAGCTCTTCAGCGGTGATGATTTCGCCCGTAGCCGCTTTAACCTGAAGTCGGTAAACATGCAAACAATTACAAGGGGAGGCCCGCCAAGAAAAATGGTGCCTTGGTTGCGGACGATAATAGACTCGTCTGACATTGCCGGCACATATGCACCGCCAGCAGTGCACGATCCCATCACAACGGACACCTAAACGAACAGCAGAATGTGGGGCTACTTGCGGGATCCCGCTGGCCGAAATCCTTGCCTGGTTGTAGAAAATGCGTCCAAAATGGTCTTTGTCGGGAAAAACATTCGATTGCCGCGGTAAATTTGCACCGCCAGAATCGACTGGTTAAACTGTGTTAAAAGAAACGGCGGCTACCTAAATACACACAAGGAAGTCTGTTTTCCTGGGCGATTTCCTGCGCTCTCAAGTGTTTTTTTACGGTAATCGGATAATAGGACCCGCCCTTGACGGTCGCATCATTGGCAACGATCATACAACGTGTGCTACGATAACCCAAAAAGGCATACCCTCTAACAGACCCGATTCCAGATATCAATCCGCCGGCCGGGACGTCTTCTGGGTTTCCAAAGTCATCCAAATAAAGCTTGTGGCCGGCAAGTGGAGATAATTCCAGAAATGACGAACAAAAGGTAAAGGCGGATGGAACTTACTTTGCATCCAACAGGGCAGCAATTCTATCTCTGGGAAGCATTTTACCGCGGGACAAATGCTTTGCTTTTGCAGCTGCGCCTCCGCCTTCATAAATTTTACCCAATGTGCTATCAAGATCTTGCTTGGCTTGTAACATAGCAGCCGAATTTTGCTAACGTGGTAGAGGCCTCAAACGTGTACCTTGGAAAAGTCGAGTAAATAAGTACCTTAAATTGATCTTCTGTGGCATCTACATAGCCGTCCATAACTGGGAAGTGGTCAGTCCGTGTACAAATCAGCCCGGTAAAGTAGCGACGACATTGCAAGGCCCTCCGAAGAAAGTTACCAAGTTGCATTAAATTGCAACCCTCATTTGGGGCTAAATAGGGAGCATCAAGGCCGCAAAGGCAGATACTTTATTGGCTACATGCATCATAATGTTCGTGGAAATCAAGGCGCTGTGAAACCGCCAAATATGCGTTTGCCTTTTTGTGCCAGCTCGGCGGCACTCTTTACAAGCATATTTGATTTTGGCTGTGCCATGCACAGCATATGCCTTTTTCATTATCTACCTTGACGCTCAACGTGACCAGCAGATCGCTTGAAATTCTACAGAGACTATTCCGAACAAGGGCGTCCGGGTAAACTTGCCCTTAGCTTGCCACTATCCAAGATGTCTGTTTTTTCTGATAGCCGTTCGAGGAGCGTTCTAATGGCTGTGAAAATCGAGCGATCGGCCCTCCCAGCCCCCTCGGCCCTATATGGCTGGTGTAGATAAATGCATGATGAAAGTTGGTCGTTGAAGGCCTTTCAAGGAACGTATGGGCCCAAAGTGAGGCAACTTGAAATGTAAATTTGAAAAGTCTCGCCGCCAATGGAACAGTATTCGGAAAAGTAACCAACATTTTAATTTTAAAATTACAATTTGCTAATCGCTAATTTTCAGTTTGTTACCCCGTCATGCCAGCTCAGCCAATGATAGTAATAAACCAGAGCTCCCAAAAGGATTCCACCAGCTACAAGGCCCAATCTTCAAACATCTTGGCTGCAAAGGTATCCATACTTTGAGGTAGCTTTCCATTTAGACGGTTGCCGACGTTATCCGCACGTGTCTCGGCCCATCCTCTATGCTCAAGATGCTCATGGATCCGATGGGCGGCATTGTTCTCACAAACGACGGAAATGCAATTCTCAGGGAGATCGAGGTAGCACATCCAGCAGCCAAGAGCATGATCGAACTTGCTCGTGCCCAGGACGAGGAAGTGGGCGATGGCACTACCTCGGTCATCATTCTCTCCGGAGAGCTCCTCTCATTGTGCGGATCTTTATTGGAGGAGCGAAGCATCCACCCAATCATGATCATCAATGGCCTTCGAAGGGCTCTTTTTGATACGCAAAAGTTTCTCACTTCGATTGCAAAACCCATCGATGCCTCTGATGACCAGCAGGTGCTTTCCGTTATTTCCTCTTCGCTGTCGACAAAATTTGGTGGCCGCTGGGGCGATCTTCTCTGCAAGCTTGCTTTGAAAGCTGTGCGAATCGTGGCCACCGATCCGGATTCCATCGACATCAAGCGTTACGTGCGCATAGAAAAAATCCCCGGAGAAGAGATCGAGACAAGCCATGTTGTGGATGGGATTGTGTTAAACAAAGACATCACACATCCAGGCATGCGCCGTTGGATTGAGAACCCGCGGATAATGTTGCTCGACTGCCCACTGGAATACAAAAAGGGAGAGTCACAAACCAATTTGGAGCTGATGAAGGAGGGAGATTGGCAGCGCGTGTTGGAAATCGAGGAGGAGCAAATACGCGCCCTGTGCGAAAGCATCATTGCCATGAAGCCTGATATCGTTTTCACCGAAAAAGGCGTGTCCGGTTGGTGCCTTTGTTTAATTTTAGATTTGGCACAGCACTATTTTGTCAATGCAAACATCACCGCCATTAGGCGGGTGCGAAAAACAGACAATCTGCGCATTGCACGCGCCGTGGGAGCAACGATTGTCAATCGGCCTGAAGACTTGAAGGAGTCTGACATTGGGGTTGGGTGCGGGCTTTTCCATGTCGAGAAAATCGCCGACGAATACTTTATCTTCCTGGAGGTTGCATTTGCAAATAATTTTGTAGAAATGTAAGGAGCCGCGTGCGTGCTCCGTTCTGCTTCGCGGGGCATCAAAGGATGTTTTGAATGAAATCGAACGAGACTTGCACGATGCACTTGCCGTCACCAAAAATGTGATCACAAACCCCATGCTTGTTCCCGGAGGCGGTGCAACCGAGATGGCACTTTCCGTGCATCTTTCTCAAGAGAGCAGAAAGTTGGCTGCCGTTTCAACCAGCCCTTCTGGCTCGTCTTCGACGTCCCCCAGCTCGCCTTCGATGTCGCCCAGCGCATCGGCCTCGCAGGATTACATTTCATCTCTAATTATGGCACCGTATTGTGTGGCTGGAGAGGCTGTCGAAGTGATCCCACGTACTTTGATTTCAAACTGCGGCGGAGACGTGATAAGGACAATGACCTCGCTTAGAGCCAAACACGCCGAGGGCCGCCATTCTTGGGGCATCAATGGCGTCACTGGAAAATTGATGGACATGAGCGAGCAAGACGGTTCCTCTGGCATTTGGGAGCCGCTTTCTGTCAAGCTGCAAACCCTAAAGACTGCAATCGAGGTTTGATTTGTGCATTGTTAATGGGAACATAGTCCGCATGCATGCTTTTGCGTGTAGATGGTATTCTTTCGGCCTCGTCCAAAAAGCAGGACAAATCTTCTGGTGATTCCGGCGCTGCTGCCTTTGCAGATGAAGTATCACATGCCCTTGTTAACTTTAGGAATAACTTTATAACTGTCAATAAATTTACCGGGTAATTTATTGCAAATGTGGTGTTATAGGCATTGCGCCCAAGCAGGCCTCATAGATGATGATGATGATGATGATGCATAGCGCATCACAGATTTAATACATCCATCGGGTAACATCCGGTGATCATGTGGAGCTTGGAATGCTACATTTTAGTTTTGCAAAGATGGCAAGAATGGCGATTGGGATCGGCGAAAGAGCACCTCCATTCCGGTAGCAGGTTTTTGTCTAGGATCGTTGGCTTCTAGGCTCACCCGAGTGTAGGATCGTTGTGGGCGCTGTTTTGTTGCGCTTTTGGCAGCAAGATCAGCGTGGTGGCGACAGGTGCCAAGAAAGGTTTTCAATTATGCCAGCATTTCGCAGCATGGCAAAACTTGTCAATCCAAACACGGATGGTATCCATCATACCCTAGCCATTTCGGTGGCCTTTTTGAGTTCAAGACGAGGAGAATGCATTTCTTTGCCTGTCCCTGCATTTCACTGGCGTGATAACCATTCGTCAATGGCAACATTTAGTGGCAAAATTTGCGAGAATCGGCCAGCATTGTAATTGGTTCAAGTAGCCTGATTAGCTATCATTTAACATATCGTTTCCATTGGGTGTAAAATTTAGTGTGCAAAATGGGCATAAAAAGCTACCATATTATTCAAAAAACAGGTCATCCAAATGGACGCCCAAAGATTTCTATTTCTCATCGCCATCATCACTTTGTGCGCCTCGTTTGTGCATCTACTTGATACCCAAAATAAAAACCGCAATACTGATACTGTGTCTAAATTTAAAAAAAGGCTTGTGCGCAAAATAAAGAATTTCCTATCTGACAACGACCTAAAAGAGCAAGTCACCAGAATCAAAAAAAACTTGAATAAAATAACACAAAAAGACCTCTTAAACATCGAAAAAATGTTGATCAAAACTCTTGAATCCCAAGATAAAATTATGAGCAGCGTTGAAAAGTTAACCCAGCTTAAAGGCCTCAAATTATGTCCCAAGTTTTTGAAAACTTTTGAAGCCAAAAAAAATCTAGCCAAAAACCGTCAAACCGAGGGGATAAATTTCCCAAACACAATAAAATCATATTTGCAAGCCAAAGAAATTATTTCTTCATACCTTCAAGATAAAATGGACTCGATTGAGTTGGTTGAAAAACAGTTAAAAAAAATTGGTAAAAATTTATCTTCAATCCAAACCTTGGAGCCCGACGACCAAAATTCAAGTACAGCCACAGGTTCGAAGCTAGATAGCTCAAATGTTCAAAAGAATTCTTTATGTCTTCTCCCCAATATAGCTTTATCTGACTCTTCGGATACATCTGACCTTGAATTTACATGTAGCTCTGAATTTTCCTGTTCAGATACAGATAGCTCTGAAGTTTACCTTTCCTTTGACGACTGTTAGTCTAACGAACCTTTCAATGTAAAATGCACAATTTAATAAACTCAATATGATCCAGATATCTTTTCAAAGCATCCATCGGTGCCCAAATTAATCAGGCAGAGACTCCTTTTAATCAGGTGGCAGCTCTAGTTATGCATCAAATTTCAGTCGATGGTAGCCCTTCCATTTGCTAAGATTTCCTCTTCTCATTGCAGATGTGATGAACATGTGGTTTGAACAAATGTATCCTATAAACACCGACATTTGTTGAAGTTTATTTTTCCAATTTGCGTGTCTTGTTTAGTCTGAGCAGTGCCTATAAACATCATAATTCCGCAATATAAACATAATTTTTTGAGACCATGAATGCAGTCAACGATAGGAAACCCCCATTTTGTCGGCATAATATTAGCCCCAATCAACGTCAATCGACATTTAAAACCGTGGTTTGACCGGTATTTCGAAATCGTTCTGTGATGTCCGGTGCATGGTTAAGATGAATCTTTTATCGAAGAAAATGGCTACCCCATTAATTTGAGCACCGATGGATGCTTTAAAAAGATATCTGGATCATATTGAGTTTACTGAATTGTGCAGCTTATATGGTTTATTTATGGTCACAGTCAGAGTCGGAGTCAGAATAAAGGTGCAGGTGAAAATAAAATCAAAACACAGTGTTATGTCGATCATTCGGAGTATTTTCAGTACTTGACCTATGTGACTCCGAACTTGTGGCTGTACTTGAATTTTGGCTTTCGGGCTCCCAGGTTTGGATTGAAGATAAATTTTCACCGATTTTTCCAATTCGCGTTTAAAGGACAGCATCGATTCGAGTTTTTTTTCAAGCCTTGAGAGATCATTTTTTCGGTCTTGGAAATATGGAATCATTATTTCTCCCAATTTTTCTATTTGTCTTTTATAGTATCGGATCGTTTTTGTGTACTCCATATCTTCAATCC